TGTATTTGGATAGTAACCCTGTGTTGGTTATAACTTTTCTAATTTTGTGGCTATGAAGATGCACCTATGCTTATATTGAAACTTAAGTTCTTTATTCTAATATGCTCCAAATAATCAGTAAATCCTTTTTACATTCACCCTCATTATCCGCTCTTGGGACTTCTCCACTTTGAGCTTGTGTTTATAAAGTGGTTAAAAGATACACAACACAGAACTTGTCATTTTAAGTGTACATTCAGTGGCAGTGTATACATTTGAATTATTGTGAAACCATCATCGCTCTCCATCTCCAGAACTGTTTTATACTTTTCTTCTTTTATTGTGTAATTATATGTATGTGTCTATGTGTGGGCATGTTTGCATGAGACCAGAAGAAGGGGGGTGGCTCTCCCAGGGCTAGTGTCACAGGCAGTTGTGGGCTGTCTGACACCCTGCTGGGAACTGAACCTGGACCCTTGCAAGAGCAATACACACTTTTTTTTAAAGATTTATTTTTATTATTTTGTTTGTCTGCATCTGTGCACTATATAGCTGCTTAGTGTCTGAGGAGATAGACAGTCTTCATGTGGTTGCTGGGAAAGGAGCCTGGGGCTTTCACAAGAACAAGAAGTGCCCTTAACCACTGAGCTGACCCTCCAGCCCAGCACACACTCTTAATTGATGAGACCCCCATCTCCAGACTCCTATGCTTTTAATTAATCTCCCCCATTTTGTTCTGTGAGCTAGCTGTGTCGTTCTGAATGACCTCCAACTCTTGGGTTCACGTTGTTCTATTACTTTAGTCTTCTGAACAGCAGAGGCTCTGGGTGCATGCCACTGTATCTTTAAGAACCTCTTTGGCGCACAAACATCACAAAGACCATGCATATATTTTTCCCGAAAGTCTTACTATTTTGCTTTTCTGGAGTATCTGCAACTAGCTTGAGTTGATGTCAGTGGATAGTAAGAGGTAGAGAATAAAATTCTTCTCCCACAGGCAGCCACTTGTCCCAGAGTGATTTAGAATTGCCCGTCTTTTCTCCATTGACCAGAGGAGTGGGCCTGTCACATGCCGGGCTTCTGGGTTCTCTATTCTGTTCAGTTAATTAGCTTATTCCTGTTTCAGTCCCACAGTATTTTAAATGCTATAAGATTATATCAATCTTTCTGTGGATTCACAGTCCAAAGGCTGTGGAATTCATAATTTTCTTATCATCTTTTCTTCATATTCATATTTCTATCCAGCCTTTCCCAGCCACTCTTTCTGGAATTTCTAAGACTCCTCCAAGAACTGTTCATATTCCTCCTCTGGTTGAATTGTTTATTGCTTGGTTTATCTTACATAGTAATTCATATAATTATTTGTTCTTTTCTCTTTCCTACTAGACTATAAAACTTAAGAGAATAGAGATTTGGAACTCTTTCATTGGAAAACACTTCTTGGCACTTAGTAGGGCTAACTGACATTTCCAAAATAAAATTGGCCATCTTGGTATATGGAAGGGCGTTTCTTCCTCCCTGTCCTACCTCTTAAGGATATGTTCCCTCCGGCTCGCTTGACCTTCGCTGGCTAGACGAATGGAAGCAAAGGGAGAAAGAATGGGATGTTTGTTTTTAGATTTCTCTTATAGCCAAACTCTCTGAAGTAGGAAATGAAGTCAGGAGGGTGGAGAGAGCAGAAGGTGGCCAAGTTTGCCTTCGTTTTTTGGGTCAGTCCCCTGTTGGAAAGGCTTCTTTTCCTGTACTTTCCATGGTGAGCAGCTCTGGCAGGGTGTAACAATCAGAGGATGCTCACTTTGTAAAGAACGTTTGCACATCCTTGGGCTTTGGGGTAACACAGCCTAAACTGGGGAAGAATGTAGACGCACTCTGACTTACCAAGTATGGCAATGAAACTCTCAACTGTGTAAAACACCATAGAGCTGGAGTTCTGGAGTGGTGAAGTCAGCTCAGGGTGAATGCCATCTGGGTTGGACTGTCTGCAGCTGCTATTGTCCAGCACAGGCCCTGCACGGAGCAGTGACGATTTATGGAAATTATGCTGCGGAAGGTACTCTGTGCTTTATTACAGGATAAGCTGGGCAGCCAAGTCATTCTGAAAGGAATGCTTATACAGTTTTCAGACGAGCACTTGCCGTCTCTAAGGTCAGAGTCACATTCGATTCAAACCATCTGTTTCCTGCGAAGCTGAACCCAGCTCTTTGCTCGTAGTCTCGCCAGGACTCATCACCCAGCACTTGACTTAGACATCCCTCCAGGACTCATCAATCTCCTCCCATAAATATTTATTGAAGGATCTTGGGATCCAGGAGCCGTGGTTCCAGAAATGGCACGGCAGTTCCTGGTTTTGACTGCTTATGGTTTATTGAAAGTAAAATTGTGTATGTGTATATATATTTCTCCCGCTATGAGGTCGGTGTCTATAGCTTCTTGAGAGTCCTGTTTGCCAGGACTCAGCATTATATAATCCCTCATTGTTGATGAAATGAATATACGAGAGAGCCCCTGCATTGAAAGCACATCTGAAATGTCCACATCATTGTGTGTTACTGCTGTGGGGAAGTTACCCTTTTGATTGCCCCTGGATACAGAAATCAGTTTTTACAGTGTGTAGTGACCCTCACTGATACTAGAGAATAACCATGCTGGTATAGCTGATAGACTCAGGCTGCTTTGTTCTCTGAAATCAGATATAGGCTTTGAAGGGCCTGGGGTGAGGGCTCAGCACTCAGGAGCACTCTTCTGATCCCAGCCCCACACAGTGGTTTATAGGAGTCTGTAACTCCAGTCCTGGGGGTCTGATGCCCTCTTCTGGCCTCTGTTGTCACTGCATGCAAGAAGTGCAAATCCTACAAGCTACAAGCTGACAAAACACATTAATACATCAACTAAAAACAGGACTGGAGAGACAGCTCAGCCTTTAAAAGCTAGGCTCACAACTAAAAACAAATTAAAAACAAAGAAAAACCCAGGTTTTTGATATGATGTAAAAATATCTATTACATGACATAATACGATTTTGGTAATGCTAAACATTTGTCTAGTTCTTTATGAAATGACATTAGTTATCTCATATTCTAATTTTGAAGGTAGGCATTTAAGGGACTGTATAAACTGATACATGAAGATAAGTAAAAGGGGCTGTCCAAAAAAGAGCTTAAAATCAAGTAGCCTTGGCATTCTTAACAAGCCACAAGTGATGGCCATGAACCGTTTGAAACAGGGTACAAAATTGACTCAGAGGTGCATTTCCCTTAGGAGACAATTCATCATATGTTTTAGTAGTTCATGTTCCAAAAACACGAAGACCTGTAGTAGAGGGATATAAACACATAAAAAGTAAATCTGGCATGGTGGCACATGCTTTAAATTCTAGCACCGGGGAGGCAGAAGCAGGTAGATCTTTGCCAGTTTTGCCAGGAAAATTCCCTTGCTGATAGCAATAAACATTTTCATACTTTATAACTGACTACTTCGTGAGCTAATTTTGTAGTTTGTGTAAGATTTTTCTCTAATAAATAACATTCCCGACGATATTAACCTTTTGTGTTATACTTATGGCAAACCCTTTTTCACTGCACAATAATTCTGTGCACCTTTTTAGACGCACAATTTTGTTTTCCTAGTCAGAGCTCTAGATTTTTTTTAAAATTTGTTGTGACTTCACTTAGATTCCTGTGATATCCTTAGACTATTCATGTATACCTTCTCTGTTCTGTGCTTCAGTTTCTTTTTAACCCTTTAAAGGTAATTCACAGGTTAGACTTGGTGATGTCAATTGTGTATATGCCACAGAGGGGAAATGTGTACCCCACTGTCATATTAGTGGAATCAGGACAGCAAGACGGTTGGCAGAGTGGAGCTCCGTGATAGTCACTTCAGTTCTATTATTTGTTAGGTAATCTTTGGAAGTCACTTTTTTTTTAAAATTTTTTTATTTTTTTTGTAAATTGGAGCTAATACTAGAGCCTTCCTTGTGTGGCTTAAGAATACAAATTGACATATAAACTGCTTAAAACAGGCTCTGGTACAAGGGATAGCTACCAGTTAGTCCGTCTTCCGTGGGCATTTAGAAGCTTCGAAGTATTCCACTATACTATGCATTTCTAAAAACGACGACTTCCAGCCTCTTCTCCAAGGCCTCTGCCTGCGGCTTTTGCAAGGGAGACACGCCACCTAGGGGCCGCGGCCTCGAACACTGTAGACCGCCCAGGGCTCTAAAGCTCCGCGGGAAGGATCCTTCCCTTCCCGCCGGCTTCCCTGTGGTCCCCGAGCATTTCTGCAAAATCCTGCAGGTTCCACCACTCCCTGGAGACCGTGCTCTGGTGTTACCCTGTGAAGGGCCGCAGGAGAAACCGAGGCCATCGCACGTAGATGCGCAAACGGACATTATTTTTGGAGCTGTTTTCTCATCAGAGAAATGAAGGCAGCGTTGCTAACAGAATGAGGGGAAGTCCTAGTGTACCCCGGGCAAAGCCGACCCAGGCAGGCTCTCTCCATCTCTCCGACCTAAAGTGCGGTTAGAGCGCCGTCCCTGGATTTCAGTACTTAGTAACACGAACTCTGTCCGCAGTGTGCAAACGTTTGCCCTTAGCATTGCAGCACTGAGTCCCAACGCCGTCTCCGTGCACCGAGGGACAGCTTAAGTTCTGCAAAACAAATGAACAGAATCTACAGACATTTGAATTCAAGATATTTAATGCCGGGCGTTGTGGCTCAGCCCATAACTCCAGCACTTCGAGCGCTGAGGCAGGAGGATCAACATGAATTTCAGGTTATCCCTGGCTGCAGTGGGAGACCCTATCTCAGAAAGACCAAACCTCCGCAAGCAAAACGAAAAACAAAACACACACACACACACACACACACACACACACACACAACAACAACAAAAAGTCCTTCAGCGAGCTAAACGCACAGAACACACTGTTCCTTCAGCAGCTCCCACGAATTCCGCGTAGCATCACGGTGGGCGGGACGCCAGGGGGTGGGACCTCCGTGCCATACTTCCGCTTCCGGTCCCATGAACTCTCCCGCCACTGGGAGAGAGCAGCTGTCAGGGCGGTGTTTCCTCCAGTTTGATTACTAGCTGGCTAAAGAAAATCTTGCGGGTTTATTAGGGACGGAGAAAACGTGGAGTTGAAAGTTTGCAAGTTGACCTGGTGGGACCGAGTGACAGGTGATGTTTGCGGGGGTTAAGGGGGTGGGAAGAGACGCGGCCCGGGAAAGTGCCGGCGCCTGGGCGGGAACTTGAGGCACTTTTGAATGTTCTGGAAGGCTGGATTCAAAGGCTAGATTTATAAGTCTGTTCCACAGAGTTATAAGATGAGGCGTAAGTCTCTTCTCCCGGTAGAATCTACTTTTCTTTCCCTTGACTTAAGAACTGCCTCCCAGTAGAACCCCATCTGGTCTTAGTTTCGCAGACGTCTGAGGGTGGCGACACAGACCAAGTGAGCGGGCAGCATCACTTGACTTCCCTCTTGCTAAAAGGTCCACCACCCGCATCTCTACCCGTTTAACTCCGCCGCTCACTCGACTCTGTTATTACAGATGAGTGTAGAAAATAGGGCCTCGCCTAAGTGTAATTGCTTTTAATGATCTGTGCATGAAGTGTTGTGTGTGTGTGTGTGTGTGTATGTAATGTACCCACATGTCTGTTTTGTTGTTTTCAACTCTCCTATCGTTTGAACATTTCCCCCATCACTTTTTAAACATCTTTTTGTTGTTGTTGTTGTTGTTGTTCACTGCTTTCAGAAGGTAGCCAAGATGCAGTTCTCAGGAAGGATTCGGAAGAAGCTGCGCTTGGCAGGTGACCAGAGGAATGCTTGTTACCCTCACAGCCTTCAGTTTTACCTCCAGCCGCCTTCTGAAAACATATCTTTGACAGAGTTCGAAAACTTGGCTGTTGATCGACTTAAGTGTAAGTGACGTTTAAATTCAAATATTTGTATTCTTGGGGTGTGCAGCTGTCATTGGTGGGAGCTAATGGAGGCAGTTCGTTATTATTGGGCAGGGTTTGTTTGTTCTTCTCTTCATGTTCAGTGCGGAAGGGATATTGAGTATACTGTGTCGGGAGGGAAGACTGTAATTCACTTCTTTGTTGAAACTGTATCTACTGTGGAGGGAGATGGAGAGAGAGGGATGCAGAGTAGAAGCCCTGCATCCGATTCCCGTCTGCTTTGATAGACGTAAAGATTAGTGCTCCTGGAGCGTGAAAGTGAAGAGTAACTAGCTTGGTCTGATTAAGTAAGGCTTCTTAGGGGAGTTGGAATTTGGTCTGGTTCCTGAGAAAATGAGTAGAAGGTAGGAACTTTCCAGCTGTCCAACCTGAGATAAGGGTGTCTACAAAGACGTGGGGCTGTGAGCGAGAAGTGCTGTTTTCAGCGGCCAGTTCAGGGCCAGTGGAGAAGTATGGGGATCGGAAGGCATATTAGACCGTGCAGGATCTGAGGGTGAGAAGGACGTGGCCACTCAGCTGGAGGCCTCTTATCCTTTGTGTGGGAATGCAGAAATGAATGAGCTCACCACGGACCAGACAAATACTAGCACAGTCTTTAGAGTTTATGCTCTCGAATGTTCCTGCTGGAAGGACCAGGAGACGGGATATACCGTTACTTTTTCTTTGAGCAGCAGGGTATGAGCTGCTAACGCAGGAAACAGCGCTCGTTACTGCCCAGAGTGAGCGACGGTAAGGGGAAATTATCATAGGAAGCTTAACAGCGTCAGATGGCTCATGGTGAAGGTGGTGGTGAAAGGTGTTCCTTGGCTTTGTCACTTAAGGGGTGAAGTGGCAAGGGCCCCGTTAAGGTGGTGACGATGGCGATGATAGGGGAAAGACAGAGAGCCGGAAAGGAGGTGTGGTGACAGGACTTGTGAGTGGTTGGATGTGAGGGGCGGGTGAGCAGACGCAGGGGGGGCTGATGGGCCTGCTTGGGTAGAAACTGCAGATGGAAATGGGGACGATGGGAAGAGGAGAGGGAAGTGGAGAGGACGAGATTTGGACACCATAGCAGGAGGGAGCCAGAGGAACCTGGGTTTGTGTTCAGGAGGGAATACAGAAGAGTCGCATTGCTGGCACTAACACCTGCCTCTAGGGAGTTTGTGAGGAAGGCTTGCTCATGGCTTTAGTTGTGGCATCTGCTCAGGATGGCTCCTCTGCTGTGTCACCAGGGAAGGAAAGCCTGTGTCTTGTTGTTTATCCTCTCCTTCCCATCCTCCTCCTGTGCTGAGGTCAAGGTTGACCGAAGACTCCAGGCAGCAGAGCTTCTCTTCAGACGGGCACACAGGTCTTTTCACTTCTCAGCGTTGGTGGCTTGGCACAGCTGGAAGGATCATCCCTGGTTTTCTGTCTTCTCTGGTTGAGAACTCTCTGGTCTTAGATTATTTTCTATTTTCAGCGCATTGATGGGGTTTATCCTCTTTCAAATGCAATTTATGTAATGCACTTGCAGAAAGCAAAATTGTTAATACTGTCATGGTCTAAGAACAAAGGATTAGAGAATTGCTGTCCATAGGTTTTATCTTTAATTTATGTCCTTTTTACAATTATTTTGGATTTATACTCTCTCTCTCTCTTTTTAAATCTTTCCCCTCTAGTGCTAAAAACAGTTGAGAATCTTGGTGTGAGCTACGTGAAAGGAACAGAACAATACCAGAGTAAGTTGGAGGCTGAGCTTCGAAAACTCAAGTTTTCCTACAGAGTAAGTAACAGAAAGGCTTGGAGGGAGAATGGTCCTTTCAGATTGTGTGGGCTTATGTTATTGAGTGTAAGCTATGGGAAAGGTCTTTTATTAGGCATAGGGTTTTATAAAGACAAATGTAGTTCAGACTGTTTGGGAGAATAGTCTGTTGAGGTGGTTGACATGTAGTTAGTTGGTGATAACACAGCGATTTCCTCACCCTCAGGACCACCATCCGTCTGCCCTCTTCATTTCTCATTGCAGTACTGTCCTGTGCATTGCACAGGGCGCTTAGTAGCATCCTTGCCTTTTACCCATGATGGAATAAAGAAGCTGCCTGCATCCTGTGCCGTACAGGGTGATGCACGCTGTTTCTTTCTGGTTACTCCAGGAGCATGTGCAGTTGCCTGGCTCAGACGGGCAGTTTAGAAGGCTTTCCAGAGGAGGGGGTTGTTCCACAGTCTAAGCTTTCCTTGACCTTGTGATGTAGTCCGGGTTGGCCCTGCAGTATTGAGCCTCAGCCTCTGGAGTGCTCAAGTGGCAGGTGTATAGCACCATGTCTGGCTTGGAACTGTGTTTTGACAGATAGCATAACATTTTTATTTTGGGAGGATAATTGCCAACAGCAGGTTGAGAGGGTTGTCTTGGACAGGAGAGGACAGGAGCCTGGAACGATGAGAGTCTGAATTTATGAGAAATGGGACAACTGAAAAGATATTGGTGTAGACTGAAAAGATTTTAGTTGCTTATCCCGGGGGGAAACCAGAGAGACAGTTACAGTACCCAGGTATCTACTTCGGACAGTGGATTAGTTCATTTTTTATGAGTGTCACAGAATAGCTGATGGGATAATTTAAGGGAGGAGATGTTTTACTCATGGATTTATTGTAATGGTCAAGGCATGGCAGATTCATAATGGTGGGAGTGTGCCATGGTTGTTCCTTACCTCGTGGGGCACACAGGAAGCAGAGAGCAGTCACAACCAGAAGTGGGTGTAACCTCCTAGTGACCTACTGCGGTCAGCGAGGTCCAGTGTCCAAAGGTTCTTCAGCTGCCAGACTAGCACCCCAGCTGGAGACCGAGTGTTGAAACGCTTGAGTCTGTGGCTGACATGTCGAACGGCGGTGCTATTTTAAGGTGTGGCATACAGTAAGTGAAGCTAGTCCTGGAACCAAGATGTTGAGATTTGTTCTAGACATAAGTTGGACACAACTGTCATAGTATCGTGTGGACTTCTTAGAGAAGGCATGTTTGCTGGGAGTGCAGGCTTCCAAGAAGGTTGGAATCAACAAGACTACATGAGAGTGCACTAGGGAAATACTTAGAGAAGTTAATGGGGGAGAGGATGAGGAGACTACCAGTATCTAAGGTGAGTGGAATGGAGGAGTCTGGGAAGGAGATAAAGAAGACGCTTCATGAGAATTAAGTGATAAATTGGGATGGTAGTGTCACAGACGCCAAAGAAGGCTGGCGTTTGAATAATAGTGGCCATATTAATAATGACAGCACAACAGATGACATCAGCCGTTTGTATCATGCATATTTCATGCTGAATTTGGCTGTAAGTGTATATTACTTATATTGGCCCATAGAGTTTGTCTTATGAGCTGGGTACTGTTTCCATCCTATTTTATGACGAAGACATTGTTTTCTTATGCTTCATACTCATACTGGTAAATGGTAGAGCCAGGATTTTACCTGGGGCATTTTGTTTTGTGATGGTATTTTTAATCCCAACAGTTTTAGAAACTTAGTCAGAATCACATAAGATTAGTTGTACAGTGTACAGTGGAGTTAGCATCGGGCCCTTGGAGATGGGGCAGAAATGAGAACAGTGGTAGCTCTTGGAGGAGAGAGGTGGTGAGGTGGGTGTGGATGCTCGTAAGATGCTTAGCTAAAATTGTCAGGGGGAAGTAGGACAGAATATAGCTGTTTTAGGGAAAAGAGAAGATACATATATACACACACAGATGTACTGGACACGTATGTTAATTTTATTTTTTGTGTGAGAGATGTATGCATGCGTGCAGGTGTTCTCACCTGTGTTGCTGCATGTGGATTGACCAGGCGCTAGGATGCCTTCCACAATCATTTTTCTACCACGGGCCATCGGAGGCAGCAGCAAATGAGTTGGAGGTTTTAGTTATTGGACAAGGAAGGTGAGATGCTGTGTCCATGGAGATGGAAGGGAGGGCAACAGATGCTGTGTCCATGGAGATGGAAGGTAAGGCAACAGATGCTGTGTCCATGGAGATGGAAGGGAGGGCAACAGATGCTGTGTCCATGGAGCTGAAAGGAAGATGCAGCCTGGCATGTGGATACACAATCTTAATGCTCTTGGGGAAGACACCGCAATAGGGGCCTTGGCAGCTGGTGAAGACTGAAGCTGCTTTTCTAAGAAGTGAGGAAGGAGATGATTATGTATCAGTTGGTTTTGCTATCTATAGGATGTGCTGTTGATTGAATCTGGAATGTCTCCCATCGGCCCGAGTGTTAAAAAGCTTGGTCCTCAGTGTGGTGTATCTGGAGGGAGGTGAAATGTTTAAGAGGGGAGAGTGAGGCCTAGGGGAGGTTTTGGTGGTCGAGGCATCTGCTGAAGGGCACAGAAAGACCCCAGTCTCCCCCACTCTTGGCTGATCCACCACTTCCCTGAGTGAGCAGCTCCGCTTCAGCGTCTGCTCCTCCCACGATGTTATGCTTTGCTGCAGACCTCACAGTAGCAGACTAAATGACTACACTACAATCCTCACATCAGTGCGCCAAGAGTGAACCTTTCTCCTTTTGAATGGCTTATCCCCCCATTTTATCAGAGTAACTGAAAGCTGATGAACTTTGTTCTGAAAACTTATATGACCTCTTAGTGCCTCAGTTTTCTCATCTTTCAGATAAGGGCACAGGAACCTTCATTATACAGTTTTAAGAGTGTGTTTATACATTCAGAATGCCTTGAACAGTGCCTATTCCTACTTAGTGCCAGGCATGGGTTCAGTTTTGCTAGTTTGGGCTTGGATAAAAATACAATGGCATTGATCATTGTGTACTTCAGGTTAGAGACAGAATATAAAAAAAAATTTTATATTTTGCTTTTCTATAGTAAAATTTTTTTCTCTAAAAGTTCTCAGCATTTGGAGATAGGACTTTGGAGTGTGGTTATATATTATAATTTAGAATTAAAATAAAATGTTCTCATACCTAGAACAGTTAAAATGAAAGGAGTTGGGGGTCGAGGTTTAGGAATGATTGAGAGGGTGGATACCCCGGCGTAAGCTGGGAAGATTAGGAGGAGTGGTGAGAGGAAGGAAGTAGTTGGATCTAGCCCAGGAGCTTTCAATGAGACAGTGCAGTTCTCAGTTGTACATGCTTGTAGTTGAAGTACAGTGATAATTATCCTGCAAAGCGTATTAAGAATTGTGTTTTGAAGCCTCTTTTACCATTGGCTGTGTTGAATCAGCATGTCTTTACACCCTTCTCATTATAAGACATGAATTCATTTGTGTTGTTTTATTTTGAAGGAGAACTTAGAAGATGAATACGAGCCACGCAGAAGGGACCACATTTCCCACTTTATTTTGCGCCTTGCATACTGCCAGTCGTGAGTAAACCCTTGGTCCTTGTACTCAGATTTGACTTGGGTTATAAATGGTTCATGTGAAGTTGGCATGTTTCTGAACTGACTGTAGGAAAACCCAGAGTGACACTGGGGGAACCAGCATGTCATAGGCTGAACATCTTTGTTGTGTATTTTTTGAAATAAGTTGTTTTATTAGAAAACGCTGAAAAAAATTATTGCAGATTTGCTGGATTAAACCGTTTTTATCTGAATGGGAAAGGCTCTAAATTTTGGAATTTAAATATATAAGGGATTTCATTAGGAAGACGACTTTTGATACTTTTCCAAGGAAAAAACTTGTAATATTACTAAGAAACACTGATTCAAAAATGCACTCTAATTTGATAAAGTTTTTAAATTTGAGATTAAATTTCAGCTATTTTCAGTTGGTAATCGGCTTCTTGTAACTCAGTGCTGCCACCCAGTGGGATAAGGAGCTAATTGCTTTTTTAGTTTAACTTTTACCCCTTGCTAATTTTTGGTCAAATATCAGAACTATGGTTGTTTCTTGTTATTATTAGGTTATGAGTTGAGTATTTTGAATCACTTCTCACAAGATCCTAAGTGATAGCATGTTTGCCTTAAGCTTGAAACTTAGAGTTTTGGCTTTATAGAAAACATATATAGTTTATACAACTTATAGCCACTGAATTGCTGGTAGTCTATGAAAGTCACCTCGAAAAAATGAAATTATATTTTACATGCAGTAATTATTTTATAATGTAGCATGAATGCCAGCTATGTATTTGTCTTATGGATTAGTATATTTTTATTTTTAGCTTTAAAATATTGGAAGTTTAGGGTGGGAAGATGGGGAGGGGGTGACTTCCGGGAGGAGAGGAGGGAGGGGAAACTGGTTGTGGTTGGTATGTAAAATCAATGAAAAAAATGTTAATTAATAAAATTAAAAAAAACCCAAAATACTGGTTTACTGTGAAGCTTACCCTCTTAGTTGACAAAGTTTGCTCATGTTAACCTGTTCAGAGAACATTGACTTTTAAGACTGGTTGTTTACTTGCTGTGGACAAAAGCACCTCAGAGAGAAGAGAGCCTAACTTCCAGTGTAACGGCCTCTTTGAAAGGTACTTTAAATGCAGCGAGCTAGTTCTTTTATGTTATTCAGTAACTGTACTGGTTTCCTCCAAATATCCTTTTTGTGTGCTCCTGGGCCTCAGCCAGCATCCACGTGGAAGGTGATGGCTTATGGTTCTCACTTTCCGTCAGGTGAGACCGGGTGCACACAGGCAGTGATGCTGTGGACCTCTCTTTGCTTCAGAGAGGACAGTCTGCTCTTGACGGCTCTCTTGATGTCTGACATGCCTTGAATATCCTGTCAGAAAATCTCTTGAATCTGGTCATCACTGGGTGTTTTTTTAAAATTGTTTTTATTGAACTATCATTGGGTTTTTAACTTACATTCATTTCTGTTTTTGTTTCAGGGAAGATCTTAGACGATGGTTTATTCAACAAGAAATGGATCTGCTTCGATTTCGATTCAGCATTTTACCCAAGGATAAAGTTCAGAATTTCTTAAAGGATAGTCATTTGCATTTTGAGGCTGTAAGTGTGTATCTATCTATCTGTCTGTCTGTCTATCTATCTATCTATCTATCTATCTATCTATCTATCTATCTATCTATTTTTTTTCCTATTTTTCCCTCCGTTAACTGCGTCTCAGTATGTAGTCCAGACTTGGGGCAGTCTTCATGCCTCTGCCTACTGAGTACTGGGATTGCAGGCATGCCACCATGGTTGGCTTTTAAGTATATTTTTATATTTATTTGAAATCATTCCCCGGTTATCATCTCCTTTTATTTTAAGTACAGTTATTAATAAGTTGATCCAGGCTCTTTATGTTCTTTTATTGGGTACCTGGCTCAAAGAATAGCCGACAGCAAGTGCTATTTGAAAGTATGTGAGGTCTAGAGAAGGTTGTGTTTCGGTTTGAAAGTCAGCTGTTTGTAACTGCTGATTGGATGGTTTTCAGAAGTTGCTCTTGCAGATGAATCTGAGTGAACTACATTTTGCAGTTATACAAACCAAATGTTTGGGAAATTTAGCGTGGAGAAACTGTGGTCAGAAGTAGAAAATATGTCCCAGGTGGATCTGTGCTGCTGTGAAAGAAAGATTGTTTCTGGAAAGTTCCAGCTGTCAAGTGCGAGTGGGACTTTGATGTAGGTGGAAGGTCCCTGTCCTGTCTGCAGACCCCTGTGGCACGGCTTCTTACCAGTTACTGCCACAGATAGGCAAAGACGCTTGCTTTTTTAGAACTCATTCCTTCTCATTTTCTGTTAAAGTTTTGGTCAGATTTGGTTGTATAAGGATAGTCAGCAAACATTTAGTGTCTGCTATGTGCTAGGAGAGACTTTCTGTAGTTCCTTCTCTTATAAAGTCCCTGTGTGTGTAGAAGACCTGGTATAAAGTCCCTGTGTGTGTAGAAGACCTGGTATAAAGTCCCTGTGTGTGTAGAAGACCTGGTATAGAGTCCCTGTGTGTGTAGAAGACCTGGTATAAAGTCCCTGTGTGTGTAGAAGACCTGGTATAGAGTCCTGTGTGTGTAGACGACCTGGTATAGAGTCCTGTGTGTGTAGACGACCTGGTATAGAGTCCTGTGTGTGTAGACGACCTGGTATAGAGTCCTGTGTGTGTAGAAGACTTGGGACATGGGCGCAGGATCACTGGACCCAAGCCCAGTGCTGCTACTTTTTTCCTTTTAGCCTTGGGCCTTGGTGAAATTCATTATTACTGTTATCAACAGTTGATTTATTTGAAACAGTGACTTGTTTTACTTTTGGTCATGTGTATGTGTGTGTGTTTGTGCGTGGGATACACGTCTGAGTGTGGCTGCCCGTGGAGGCTAGAGGCATTGCACTCCGGACATTGTGAACTGTCTGACTGGAAGGTGCTGGGAATCAAACCCGGGTCCTCTGCTGAACCATCTCTCTAGCCTCAGTTTATTATTATAAATAAACTTTATAATCTTATTAGAAGTAGTTGTGTTTTTTAAATAATTTTGAAATTGCTGCTTTCTAGTGGAAGATTGAAAGAAAAAATGTCCTTGATCTTGTTTTTTATTCTAGAGTATCTGAACACATTGCTATATATGTTTTTAAAAAGTAATGTGTTTAGGAGCTGGAGAGATAGCTCAGTGAAGAGCATTTGCTGCTCTTGCAGAGGACCTGGGTTTGGTCCCAGCACTCACATAAGAGGCTCACAACTGCCCCCATAACACCAGTTCCATGGGATCTATGCCCTTTTCTGGTCTCCTTGGGCACCAGGCACACATGTGGTCCATATGTATGTGTGTGTGTGTGTGTGTGTGTGTGTGTGTGTGTGTGTGTGTCTGTATATATGTCCCTTTTACATTGAAAATGAGCGACTACTGGCTGTGGGCTCTGTATCTGGATTCTACAAACTTTGTGTTAGAAGCTTTCTGTAAAAGAATTATGCTTGTGCAGAAAATTGTGATGACTTTCTTGTCGTCATTGTTTCCGAGGTAATATAACTACTTACACCCCGCTTAAATTTATTGTGTGTTACAAGTAACCCAGTGGTAATGTGAGTGTAGGGGTGGGTATGTGTAGGTTATATGCAAGTAACTGCACTATCTTCTTTCTTTTCTTTTTGAGATAGGGTTTCTCTGTAGCCCTAGCTATCCTGGAACTGGCTCTGTAGGGCCTTGAATTCTGAGAGCTGCCTGTCTCTGCCTCCAGCATGCGCCACCACCACCTGGCTTTACTGCGTCTTTTTCTATACCCAAGCTTCTGCTGGGTTTGGTGTCTGTAGGGTGGTCCTGGGACCCATTCACCGGGACAGCTTGGAAAACTGCAGACTGAAGGCCCAGACTCAGCTTGGCTCAATGCCAACTCCAGGCGCTAATGTTTCTCTGAGACTCAAGGCTTCTGATCTGTGATCATGTGAAATTAATTCGATGTGCACAACAGTGTGTGTGTGTGTGTGTGTGTGTGTGAGTGTGAGTGCGTGTGTGAAGGAGGGAGTGGGGGAGGTTGCACTTTCCCTTCTGCGTCAACCCTGGTCAGGAGGCTGACTTACCCCTCAGGTCCCTCAGCTTTTTCCATTTTACTTTAGGCTTCCCTAATTTTTACCATTTCATTCCTAGACACGTGCGTATTATCTTCTGTTTGCTCTGAAGATCTAGTTTGCATTTGAAAACTATTACCCCTAACCAGGGATTGGTATAGATGTGGGGCAGAACCAGGGTTTGAGAACAGTTATGAGCATTTGTCACCTGAGATGGTCTTCGAAATGGAGACCACGCAGCTTGCTGCTTTAGGAGAGGCACACGGAAATGGTGGAGTAGAGATCTACGGGGCTATCAGAGTTCCACTGTGGATTTGCCTTCCCGGCACACTTAGAGTCTACCTGGATTTGAAGTGCTTGTGTTCTTGTACGCATTTCTTTGTCTATTTCTCTAAGGCTAAAGTACTTCCATCTTCAGCCTCATCTGTAAGACAAGGTGCTTTTATATTAGGAGGAGCTACAGTAACATAAATTACATGCTTGCTTTGATAGAGGAACATGTACAGAGAAAGGTCTCATTAATTCTTTCGCACAGCCCTTTCTCTTAAATTCTGTTTTATTTAGAGCCATGCTGGTGTTATTTTATTGGGCAAAAATCTGGAAAGCGTAAACTGATTCCTGATCCTGTTTTGAACTCTGTGCTTTTGATCCATGCAGTGTGCTGATTCTTCTGCTTATTTGGTTTAAACTTGAATTTCTAGTGGATAGCAGATTCTGAATCTTTGTGACATAGTACATGAAAATGTACGAAAAGAGAAGAACTGGTGTGTTTTATCCTTTGCCTTAATAACTTGAATGTCAAATCAAATTTCTAAGAAGGATTAGAGGTGATGGAGTATTGTAGTCTCTGAGGATTATTTTGGGTTTCTCATAGCTGAGCTGATTGACTTAACCTTGAGTCATAGCACAGGGGACTGAGCGTCCATACACAGGTTCTAGCAGTCAGTAGGGAAAGGTCAGGCTGTGATGTGTCGGCTCCTAGACGAAGGACCCTGTGCTATTGCACTCCAGAGCCAGATAAGTTTGTAATACACTGGATGTTTTTAAAGCTTCCTAGGAAAATTCATTTGACATACCAGTGGATGTAAAGTCAGGGTACATTATTACGGTAACAGAGTCAGGGACAGTAAAGATAGGAGAGTGTTCTGTGTGCCGCATACTAGATCTAATGCACCATAGAAAGAGCTGTGCTGTTCGGCTGCCTTTGTGCTCAAGGAGGTGAGAGTTTTTGGGAGGATGCGTGTAAGGCAGTAATCTCATGGCTTGACTGTCTCAAAACAAGTACACATGCAATTTTCAATGGTTTATTTTTGCTTAAAATGAATTTCTTAATTCCACTCTTGGCACTTAGAATTTCTTGACTCTTATTTTGGATATCTTTTTATTTACTTATTTATTATTATTTTAGAAAATGTTTCATCTTTTTAAGACATTTAAAATAATTATTTTTTGTATGTGTAAGCATGTGTGTAGGTACACATGGCACAGAGCACATGTGAAGATCAGAGAACAAACTTAAAAGAGTTGGTTCTTTTCTTTTACTCTCTGGATTGTTGGGATCAAACTCAGGTTGTCAGGCTTGGCGGATGAAGCTTAATTTGTTATTTGTACTGAAAATACCATCTTTTAATTCTTTAGGCTCTTCTGGATGCTTTTCTCCAGTTAACATTGCAACATTGTTTAGTCTTTACTTATGTGAAATTTTAAAACAATCTTGTTATGTATTTATCATTGTTCTATAGGTATTTGCAAATTGGCTTCGAAAGTCATGGGTTTCTGACCATTACTGATCTCTGTTGTATTGCTTACTTTGTTAATTGATATATTTTAGGTGGTTCTGTTCTTTTGGCATGTGTACGCCTCATTGTGGTTGACTTCATTTCTTTTATTTAAAATATGGGATACTATTGTGTAGTGAGGAGCTGCGGGCAGGCCTACTTTTCATCCCGCACGGCTCCCGCACGGCTACCTTAGCCCTGAAAATAACAACACACAAATTGTATTCATTTAAACACTGCCTGGCCCATTATCTCTAGAGAGTTAGTTACTGGCTAACTCTTATATCTTGATTAACCCATTTCTAATAATCTGTGTAGCACCACGAGGTGGTGGCTTACCGGAAAAGATTCAGCATGTCTGACCTGGTGGCTGGCTCCATGGCGTCTGCCTCACTTCCCTTCTTCCTAGCATTCTGTTCTGTTTACTCCGCCTACCTAATTTTCTGTCCTATCAGAGGGCCAAGGCAGTCTCTTTATTAACCAAGGAAAATAATGATAGAAGACCCTTCCACATCACTATTGGCCTGGTATATATCATTCTCCTTTGTCCTCTCTCTATAACCTAAATCAATAACTTTCCTAGTGATTTCAGAGCAGAACCCACAGACTGGAGAGCTCTGTTCCTTTTGTGCCTTTTGACACAGTGTGTCTCTGTGAGTCACAAATCTAGTGATAAAATAGAGGTGGAACATGCAGATGTTGGAGAAGAGCAGGCAGGAGAATGCTTGCCTTGCTCTAAAAAGTTTTTTGAAAATTAATTTTTATTTTATGTGAGTGGGTGTTTGCCTTCATGTATGTCTGTCCACCATATGTGCAGTGCCTTTAGAGACCAGAGAAGGGCTACAGATCCCCAGAAACTGGAATTATAGACAGTTCTTAATCATGTGGGTGCTGGGAATTGAACCTGTGTCCTTTGGAAGAGTAATCAGTGCTTGTAACCACAGGGTCATCGTGATAGTCCTTTTAAAATTTTTTAAATTTAAATTTAATTAAAAAATGTTCGTATAATATGTTTTGGTTATATTCTTTATGCTCATCCTTACCCATCCAACTTCATGTTCTTTCTTTCTCTTAAAAAGAGAGAAAAGAACGCATACAAAAAAATCACACACAAAGCCCCCTTTCCTCAAACAAAGCAACAACCAAAATCCCCACAAGGAGCCTGTTTTGTGTTGGCACCTCCTCCTGAGCATGAGGCCTGCCCTATGCTTTGTTACTCCACTGAAGAAAACTGGCTTTCCCCCTTCCAGCAGGTATCAGTTGCAAAATAACTTCCTGGTTAAGAGGTGGGACTGTGTGCTAACCTCCCTTTCTCCTGTGTGCTGGGGTGTACATTTATGTGCCGTGTGTGCATGAGCTGGGAACTGACCAAGATCCTCTGCATTGATTCATCTCTCCAGTCCTCAGCGCTTTTTTCTGAAGACAACTCAGCTAACATAATCCTTTTGTTCGCATAGTGGTCTATAAGATAATTATATAGACCAACCTTATTTTATGTGTACTAACTGGGCAGACATACTGTCGATAACTTTTGTTTTGAAGAATAAGGAAAATGTTTGCCAAACTCTCAGCTAGTTGAGACCTGTATTTATATGTATGTAATTATGAAAAATCATGGCAAGTAGTCCTTTTGGTAATATTTTAGAATTCATAGAATTTGAGGTTGATTTGGTCTTTATAGAGTTACAGAATTATATTCTCTTCATAAGGTAGTTTAAACCTAGAGATTGCCAAAATGTGGAACTTCAAGCTGAATTAATTAACCTTGAAGACTAAAATTAACATATGCAAACATTTTCAAACTAACTTATGGAAGTCACCTATTTTAGAAGTTTTTATGTAGTTTTAAAATATAAAATTCCTAGAGTCACACGTTTGATAACTATGCCTACAACTTGGAAAATACGACTTTAAATTAGTTGATGTTTCCCGCATACAAGGTAATGTATATGTATATCTGTGCATAAAAGGATGAAATTAGCCTTACCGAATCTCATCGCTAGCGTTGTCTTAATTAAAAATATCATGAGATATTGTTCATGTTTTCTGAAGCTATTCTGAAATAGATACTGAAGTATATGACATGTTTGCATTTATAATCTTCATAGTCTTCTCCCTTTTCTCCAAGTGCCCTTAAAATTCAATCCTTTTTGGTTGAAGTCATGTGTCATGGATTAGTCTGAAGTCTGGGTTAGACTGACTCATTCTAGGTCACTTGGATGAGACTACAAACCAGGGTCAGGGTCACGCTGTTGGGTGTGATGGCATACCCCCTGACATAGAGGCAGAGAGGGGCGGAGACCAGCAGGCTGAGACCACCCTGTCTTACACTGAGTGCCAGGGCAGATAAGGCTACACTGTGAGACTCTCAAAACAGCAAGAGTTGGGAATATGGCTAACTAGAAAGTAGAAAGTAGGGGCAGGTGAAGATTGTGTTTTCAGTGATCTTTTAGCTAAACTTGGTGACAGAGCGCTAGGGTGTAGTTAACAGCAGCAGCTGTTGGCCTAGAGTGTGTGGATTTGCTGTACTTACCTCTGAAGGTGTGAGAACAGGGCAGCTGTACCCTGCTTTGGTACACCTCTTACTTCTTTGCCTGCTGCTGGATGCTAACACAACTTTCAAGACTTTAGCCTTTCTCTTGCTGTTGATCCTCTTTGGCTTTGTTCTCTTGCTTATCTCCGTTAAGTCCGCTGTCTCCAGGTCCCAGTTTTGAGCAAGAGAATCCTGTTCTCTATTGGAACATAACCTTTCACATACTTCAGCTTCTTTGGGTAATCTAATGGTTAAAATCACTTTGTCAACATTAGGATAAAGAACTATATCCAAACTTGCATGGGGTCCTCATTTCCTAAAGAAAGATGCTAATGACTGAATAGAATCACATCTGCTAAGACGTAAGCAGAGGAAGCTAATCTCTGACAGCTACCGTTTACTGTGTCTACTGAGTACCAATCACTTAGCTAAACGCTTTATGGGCTTATATGGTTTAATCCTCCCAACAGCTCCATGAGGAGCCTGAAGATAAAGAGGCTAGAAGTCCCCACAACTCCCTCAGGCAGGCTAGTGGATATTTTGAGATATGTAAATCATTAAACACATTAGTAAATATGGATCAGATTTTTTTCTCACAGGTTGTCCTTACCTAGCACTAAAAAAGAAGTGACATTTAAAGTAACAGGGCTCATCAAGAAGGATACGCAAACACAGGTGTGAGATCAGAGATTCACATTAATGTTGCAAATTAAAGCATTAACTGAAATTTTGCTAAAATGCTTTCTTTTAACTAATAATTCTTGTCAGAATTAGAAGCTAAGTATATCAGTATACCACAGGTACTTTTCCCAACCTTTGTTTCTGTGTGTAACATCGCTGGGGGACCATACAACTTCGTTGTGTAGAATTTCATTTTGTGTGTGGGTATGGGTGTGCACGCGCGTGTGGAAGTCATAGATCAAAGTTGGATACCTTCATTTATTACTTTCCACTTTATTTTTGAGACAAGGTTTCTCACTGGTTCATCTAGCCTGGTTGGCCAGCAAACCCCAGCTTCTGCTTCCCTGCCCTGGGATAACAGATGTGTGCCCCACGTCAAGCTTTCTGTGTGGATGCTGGGGATCTGAACTCAGGTGTTTATGTTTATATGTCAAATGCTTTCTCCTCAGACCTCTTTTCACCTATTTAAAACATTTTGGATGTGTTAGTTCATGCTCCGTGGTTTGCTCATGTAGTCTTGTAAGGTCATTGTAAACTAAAACCCAACCAGTAGACTTTGTGCTCCAGTTGGGAACAATTAAACTTAATTCGTAAGACACAGAACAGTTAAGGATTTGGATAGAATTTCCTCTTAGTCGTAAGAAAGTGGTGTTATCAGGGGAAGCTTACTTACTCTTGCACACTGAGCTTTCTAGAATGGCTTGTTGGCTAGTCTAGGGGTTCTGGACTATACAGGATACCGTCTCCCCAATAGAGCTACACAGCTTTATGGTATTCTTAGTGGGGATGATTGGCAGATACTTCAGGCATTCAGGAGACAGGATGCTGGAGTGCCTATAGCTCATGAGATAGTTCTGTGTAACTGAATTTTCCCGTTTCTTGATGTTTTATGTTTCTGTGGATACCTTTTCCATTTATTGAACTGAGTATCAAGAATCATTTTATAAATCAATATGAAATGCTTACCTCTGTATTTTTCTTTATGATTGTAGCTAGCTTTGTAATGTATTTTAAGTGTTAATTCATTTAAAGAAGGATGGCTTTTTTTTTTTTTGAGTCTGATAGAGCTGAGGAGTACCCAGGCCTTGCAGATCTCCACTGACTTCCATTTGTACTGTCTAACTGAATAACTCTAGAGAAACCGTCATCCCAGATACATTGTTTTTATATCATAAGCTCTGGATGGAAGCTCTTCTATTTCTTGTGAAAAACAGTCTTAGCCTCCCAGTATCACATCCCTACAGTACCCATAAGAGCACGTGAGCATATTAGGTGGAGAGTCACAAGCAGTGGTGTGACAGCGGTACACTTTTCTGTGCTCTCCTTCATCAGCAGTGAAGGCCTCATGTCCCAGAATCCCAGCGGAGTAGGTGAGCCAACTTCCTCAAGAGAAAGTGTCAAGATTGACTGTGTGTTCTTAGGTTCTTTGGAAGGATGGAGACATCTTCTCAGTGCATGTAAGAAAGATGCCCTCCTCCTGGGGTTGTGCCTCCCATAGAGAGAGGCTTCTGGTGGGATCACTTTTGTCTTGTACTCCCCGTGTAGCTGAGGATGACCTTCAACTTCTCCTCCTCCTGTGCTGGGATTATAGGCTTCCACCACCATCCTCAGTTTTGTACACTGCTGGAGACGGAGCCCCTTGAGCTTCATGAACGCTGGGCAAACACTCTAGCAACTGAGCTATATCCCCAGACTATATATATCCTTAAAATTGTCTGTTTATGGTTCTGACATAAAATAGCAGTCTTGAAGAATACTGATCGTAAAAATAACTTCAAAGTGGTTTTGGCCAGTGAAATGGGTCGGTGGGTAAAGGCACTTGCCACAGGTCTGATGCTGAGTTTGATTCCAGGACTCACCTGGTGGAAGGAGAGAAGGGCAGATTGTCTTCTGATCTCCAGGCATGCACCATGGTGGGCAGGTGCCACCCTGCACAGATAAATGTGGTTTAAAGAAGGTGCTGTGTGATGCTTCTTGGAAAGCTGGTTTATTTCCCTTTCAGATGATGCTGAAGGTGGAGGTGGTGATAGTGAGCCCTGGAGGGTCTCCAATCCTTATAAACCACTGGGGACTTGTCTTTGGAGTGGAACTTCTATTTGATTTTTGTATTGGCAGATCCTGAAGATGAACCCAGGAGGCCTACTGATGGTTTTAACTGAGGTGGGTAGGTTAGGGTTCTATCTTGTTCCTCTGAAAAGGCTTGCTGGTCTCTGAAGCGGGTTTCTTTCCCCTCTATTTCTCTTCAGCAGTGGCTGGCTTTTCATATTCTGTGTGCTTCTTTCTCTTGGTTCCAGCTTGAACACAGTCACAGTTCCATACCTCATCTCAGAGGATAACATTTTTACCTCTCTGGAGGTTTCCAGATACTTTGTTTATGATTCACTTATTTTTATTTTTTTTATGTGTGCTTGTGTTTTGCCTGTATGTGTATCTGTGTGAATGTGTCGGATCCTCTGGAGCTGGAGTTATAGACAGTTGTGAGCTGCTGTGTGGGTGCTGGGCATTGAACCTGGATCCGCAGACAAACCTCTGAACCATCTCTCCAGCCCTACTTTGTTTATCTATTGTTATTTTAATGTTACGTTCTTTTTTTAAAATATCTTATGTGTCCCAATGTTAATCTTGTTTTCTGGCGTACAGTCTGATGACAAGGAAATCTGTTTTAAATTATGGAAAAGAACAGAGGATGAGATTAGCTACATAGAAGGGCAAGAGGGCATTGTTGGAGGTTTTGAGGAGCATGACCAGATCTCTGTGCAGATAACCACCATGCTGAGATGTGAGAATGCAAAGGAATGGAGAGCTGATGAGGCAGGTTGTTTCAGAAGACATTGTTAGTGTCTGGTAGTGTAGGTAAGGAGGGTTTGTGGACTGAAGAACTGAGAGCTTGAGTCTTCGTGGGCGTGGCCTGAGGATTGCCTGGTTAATGGGTGTGAAGAGAGACTGGCGCCAGATCTCCGTGCAGGAGATAAGGGTAGTGTGATGCTGTATGATGCTGGTGATAGTGGGGATGTAAAAATAGGAGTGTATTCTTAGGGCAAGATGTGTGTTTGCTTGTGAAAATATTACTATGAATGCCAGCAGGCCAGCGGAGATGACAGTGACAGTTCAGAATGCTAGGCTGAGATCAGGAAGTCAAGGGTGAAAGCTGTGGAGCCAACACCCCAGACACACTGTTGTGGGCCTGTGGAGAGGAGGACTGCCGCGGGGCAGCGTGAGCAACCTGGCACTTAGTGCAGCAGCTTACGAGTCTGACCACATTACCAAGCTTTTACTGAAATCTAGGATTATTGTAAAATTGAATGAAATCATCTCCATGAATCACAGTCCTTGGCAAGTGCATGGTAATACTAATCTTATTTATTAAGCACTTTTATTATGCATATAGAAACTGAAGTGATTCTGAGACTTCTAACTCTGGAATGGTGTTAAATGTCTAAAGTGCCAGGCATGGTGGGCTTGATTTTAACTGTAGCACTTGGGAGGCAGAGACTAGTTCCCCGGGTTCAAGGCTAGCTAGGTCTATGTAGTGAGTTTTAGGCCAGCCAGAGGTACATAGTGAGGCTCTGTCTCAAACATAACAAAGCAAAAACTACAATCAGACAAGGGGTCTTAAGCAGTGACACTTGTATTCATTCAGTTAGGCTTTGGGTTTCTGAAGATTGGCCAGGTCAAATCTTGACACTAATTTGCTTGATAAATATCTATTTTACTTTTGGGTATTTCTTACATAAAGCCTTCCTTTAAAATATTCCAGTTAGCATATAAAATGGGTTTCATTATGGCATTTTCTTACATATGTTATTGTATCTTGGTCATACTTAACCTCACTCCCAGAACCCATCCCAGGCTCCCCTTCTTCCTTCTGACTAGACCTCATTACCGTCCCTTAGAGTTCCTTTTCTCCGTTTATGTCGTGTGTGTGTGTGTGTGTGTGTGTGTGTGTGTGTGTGAAGTTTAAATCTAGGTTGTGTGCATTTGAGAAACATGCAGTATTTTGTCTGTCTTCCATTTGACTACTTCTGTCCTTTAAACCCTCGATACACTCTCAGTTGTTCCACCTTCATTTTTTTTCTTACTTATACATTCCTTTACCATTTGGGACTTAGAGAAAAGTTTTTGCTTGAAATTAAGCGTTCTTATTTGATGAGGCTGAGAGTAGGGTAAGTGAGAGGTGATGACACTCAGATTGAATGTATTTCTGACAGATTTTTTTTCCCCTCCAGGAAGATGGACTTTAAGGAACCTACTTGTATTTCTTTCTTAGTTGCCAGGAACTAGTGTGCTCTCAAAGTGTCATTTGGGGGAGCCAGAGTACTGCGGTTACCAATGTTCTGTTCAGTATAGAAGAGAAAATAATGAGAGGAAGTTCATGCTCTGTAGCTGCGTGTGTGTGTGTGTGTGTGTGTGTGTGTGTGTGTGTCCTCCTTCCATAGGAGATGGTTGGAAGGTTATTGAGCAGTAAGTGAATTAAATGGAACGGTCAGCGCATGTGTACCTCGAAGTTGAACGTTTTACACTTGCAGTCTGGTTGCCCTGTTGCTGATGTCTTCAGAGAGCAGTGTTCTCTGGTGAGTAGGATAAGTGTTCGTCACATCACAGCCATAGTGCTCTAACCCAGCCTGCGGGCTCCTTGTCTCAGTGAGACTTGGGTTCAATACTCAGCAGTCCTTATAGTTCTTCTAGTCAACGAACAGACTAATATTTTCTGAGCGCCTACAGTAGAGTATTGTAAATTGTGTTAAAAGTATTGGCACTTGAGTAAGTGCTTAAAATAGTTTGGAAGTGTTTGATCAGTGGACACCATGGCTTGGGCTTCTGAGTTCTTCCTCCTTCCCTCTCTCACCCTTCCCCCATCCCTGCCCTTCCTCCTCTCCTCTACCTCTGCCTTCTCCTTCTTTAAGAATGCAAGTTGATTTTATTGTGACTGAAGTTGACTCTGGAGAGTTGATAAAAAAACTAAATCTGTTTTCCCCTAGAGTTTTCTATTAATTTGCCCAGATGGACAGAACTAGCCTAAATTTTATAAAATACTAGATTTCAAGAAGTGAACATTAATTTTAAATTATATTTCTTATGTTTTTACTGTACATGCTGTAAAATTAGATAATTAATACAGTTTAAAGGAGATAATTAATCAAAATTTAGAGGAATTCTAATTGATGAATTCTGTTTCACCTTTTTAAAACTAAGAAGGATTTGCCTAAATTATGTAAAATGTGAATTAAAGAGCTTAATTTGTTAATCATCTCAGTTTGATTAGAGGCAGATGCTGATTACCTAAGTGGACCTTTCAGAGATGACTTCCATTATTTCAAATCAACTTATCAAACCAATTAAGACATTAACTTAAGGAATAGCACATACAGTAAATTACCTATGTACTAACTATGAGTGTATGGTGTGATAGGGTTATTTGCAAGTTCTGTGAACCAAAGACTTGGAGGGTAAAATGACATGAAACCTTTCCCTAATCTCAGGCTGGGAATGTAGAGTGCTGACCTAGCATGCCCAGAGCTCAGGGTTCCATCCCAGGCACCTCATAAACTGGTGGGTGTCGTATATGCCTGTAATTCTAGTGAGGCCTGGGGTGTGTGTGTGTGTGTGTGTGTGTGTGTGTGTGTGTGTGTGTATGGGGGTGGGCGGTCTGGAGGTGGGAGGGTCAGAAGGTCAAGACCAGACTGAGCTACAGAAATAGTTTGAGGTCAAATGGGATACATACAAGACCCTGTCAGAAACCAGAAGGAAGTGAACTATCAAAATGGAAGAGCTGAACTAACTCTCTCTCTCTCTCTTAAAAACCAAGCTTATTGGATTTCACTAGATTTTCTAGTCTGACCTTTGTAAGTACTGTGGGACTCTGGTTTTCTGTCCTAATATAAGGCAGAACAGCACAAAGAAGCAAAAGTTATCCTATACATGCTCATTGACAGTGTGCATAGAAGAGGAGGATGTACCATGTGTGTATTCCAGCCTGTCTTTACTGGTGGCCAAGTCTTCTCTTACAAAGCAGAACACAGGTCAGAGCAGTGTGAGCAGTGCCAGTCAGGGAAGCAGGACTGTGAGCCGCACACTCCAGACTCCGCAGTCTTGGGGTTGGATGCCACTGCTGTGCTCATCAGTTGTTTCTCCATCCTGATTTGTTTTGCTCACCTATATGGTAGAGAATACAGAAACATTAACTTGTCAGTTCGAAGGCCATAATACAGTTTGCAAAGCTCTTAGACTCATGTCTGGTACACAAAGCATATAATAATCTATTATCCTTCAACTATTATTTTTTATGGTTCCGACTTTTGCATAAAATTTGTGTAAGATGTGTTTGTGTGTGTGGGTGTGTATGTGTAGAACATTGGGTGGAATTCAGTGTGCACTTGAATCTTTTATATGTGCTACAGGTATGTGCATGATAAATTATAAGAACATCAGGAATATAAGCTAATAGAATTTGAAATCCTTCAATCTTCTAGTGAGTGAGTATAGATTTTATTTTAACTTTCTCTTCTTCGCATGTAGCGATGGGGTTAAAGATGTATGTGGATGAGTTCTAGACTAATAGCTAGACAGCTGGAGGACCTTGATCATGAGCATTTTTAACTGGGGGACTTTAGGGGTACAAAGGGGGGGCTCACTTAAGGTCAGCTAGGCTTTTGTTCTTAGAATGTAAAGCAGGTTCCATTAGGGTAGGATGAGGGTGGCAGAGTGTTGCTGGTTCTTTTCTCTGGCAGCTTAGTAACCCATCCAGCTGTCAGTTCTGTGCCCAGGTGCCTGTTTGAGTGTGTCCCTCTGTTCAGCTTCAGGGCTTGTGATTGGTGGGGCCAGAGTGTTTCATGTGTGAATGTGAGCATGAGCTTGCCACAGGGTCCTTTTCTGCTTGTATTAGCAGGCTGTTTTGTATTAGTCTTGCTAAACGAGGCAGGAGATTCACAGTTATGTTGCATGTTATAGAAAATTTACATTAACATGTATATATAGTCTGGAAGACTGAAAATATTTTTAAGAAACAACAGGGAAAAATAATTTTGTTCTAGAATGTTTCATCTAGTGTGTGAATTAAAGAAAGAGAAAAGGTGTTTGTGTGTGCTGGGTTAATCTGAAGTGTAGCATCCCACTAGCGGGAAAGGAGGTAAAATTCTGACAGATGGCATGCCATCCATCACCTTCAAGTGCTTGAGGTATTAAAGTGTTGAATTGGGTCAGTAGATAGGACACCACTGTCAGGACAGTAAGACTGGTTTCTAATGTTTTCAGTGTCAGTGTGCACATTTGAACATTTGGACTGTCTTCCCCTTGCCCAGGTACAAGACAGAGCTTATGTTCTATCCATGTGAATTTGAGTACAGTGGAAATGTACTTACTAAAATAAATTGACAGAGACTTGATTTATTATAGTTGGTAAGAGAAAGCATTAACAGACTCATTTATTTTTCCTGGCCTTATTTTTCTGTGATCTTTTGTTTCATTTTCTATTTTCTTGAATCAATATGGCTGCGGCAGAGATCTCAGTTGCTGACACTTTCCACATTCCCCCTCGTTAGTGAAGTGATCTCGTTTAGTGTCCTGACAACCAGTGGGCTTGGGTGACTTCACATATCGTCATGCTTTTCATTAGTCAGAATTTTGCTGTCTCTTGTCCAAGAAACTTGAAAATGACCAGCCTGCTCTATATAGTTTAAAGACTTAGAATCAACCACAGTCCCGGGGAAAGAAAATTATTCTCTCTCTCTCTCTCTCTCTCTTTCTCTCTCTCTCTCTGGAAAACATTTGCCAGTTGGAGCCTCAAAGAAGATTGAGTTTGGAAGGTTTTTTAATTGTGCACCAAAAGGTTCTTGCAGAAGACAGCATAAGGGAGCGTCATAAAGAAGAAAATGAGAAACTCAGTAACAGAAAATGGTGCAGAGAAACAGGCATCCTGCCAGTTGACTGAGATCTTGGAAGAGTTGGGAATTAAAGAAACAGTTACAGTTTTCAAAGACTTGATTTTATTAGTAAACGTGTGAGAATCAACTTCAAGTGACTTGTAAAGCATGCTACCTTTCACTTAAAAATATTTATTACAAATTTGATGATGTAAGATCAGAGAATTTGTTAATGAATATAATGAATAGTTTATATTAAAACTATTGGGGTAAAAATGGGGTAAAAATGGGATAAAATGAATTACGGTATTGCAGTTTAGTCTCTCAGCTCTTGACATGTGGTTAAATAAATATTCCCAAACAGGATAAATTGTGGGTGTGAGTGTGCAGGCAGGAGATCCAGTAACAAATGTAAATGGGCACTCGAGTGTTGGCTCAGTGGTTAAGAACACTTGTTACTCTATCAGAAGACCCAGGTTTGATTCTTAGCACCCAGAACCATTTGTAATTCCAGTTCCAGGGGATTTGACTTCTTCTTATGGCCTGTGTGGGCACATACATAACTACAGGCAAAACACTATATACATCAAATACTATAATAAATAGACATCAAAACCAGAATGTAAGTGGTCCCTTTCATCCACTGAGGAGCCAGGACAGTTGTGTAAATAACACATTGATAACTCAAAAGCATACGCTTTCCGTCAAGGGAACTTATAGGGAAATGCCCACTGTTCTTTACACAGATGCCCTGGTGTCCTTAAGCTGTGGAGTTTGAAGGATATTTGTCTGTCTGTCTGTCTGTCTATCTGTCTATCTATCGTGTCTGTGAGTATTTTGCATGCATGTCTGTCTGCAACACCTGAGTGCCTGGTGCCTGTGGAAGCAGGAAGAGGACTTGTGGAACTGGAGTTACGGAGAGTTGTGTGCTACCATGTGGGTGCTGGGAATTGAACCCTGATCCTGTGGAAGAACAGTCAGTACTCTTAACGACTGAGCCACCTTTCCAGCTTTCTGCTCTTTCTAAGCTCTCATGAAGCTCCTTATAAAATTAGGTTGATTCACTTCTGCTTGATTTAAGCATTCTCAGTGTGAGTAGAATTCTTTTTTAAAATTATTCTACTTAGGTCTCGCTAGGCTTCCTAAGTATATAGATGGTGTCTTATAGAGCTCGGAAAATTCGCTGCCATCCTTACATTAAACTTCCTTTTCTTTTGACTGTCTGGGGTGCCAGTGAGATGTTTTATAGATCGTCTTAGTTTTATATCTCATTCTCAGTCTTTCATTTTCTTCTTTCTTCTTGTTAGCAGTGGTTATCTGCTGAGTTACAGATGGTTTCTTGTGAACTGTGATCTTCCAGTGTGATACTTCAGTAGTCTGATTTGTTTGCCCTGCTCTCAGTGAGATTTTAATTTTGAATATTGTGATTCATAGGAGTTTTTTTTTTTTTTTTGAGGTGGGATGCTGGAGATTAGACCTAAGATCTCTGTACATACTAGGTATCCACTCTACTACTGAGCTATACCTTGAGACCTTTCTGGGCTAATTTTTAAATTTATTTTTCTTTTTAATTTATTATCCAAAATGTGTTTATTGGGATTGTTTTTCACACACTCTGAATCGGGTGCTTTTGGTGCTCATGCTGGTTAGTTTTGGCCAACTTGACATCTATCCAGACATGCCTGTGTCTGGCAAGAGGAACCTCATTGGAGAAAAGGCCTCCATCAGATTGTCTGTAGGCACGACTGTGGGAGATCAGTGATTGGTGGGAGAGCCTGTACCACCGAGTGGTGCCACCCCTGGGCAGATGGCCCTGGGCTATATAAAAAGCATGCTGAACAAGTCATGGAAAAGCAAGGCAGAAAGCAACATCCTCCATGGTTCCTGTTTCTGCCTTTTCCTGCCTTGGGCTCCTGCTCTGGTGTCCCTTGATAATGGGCTGCAAGTTGTAAGCCAAATACACCCTTTTCTCCCCAAGTTGCTTTCAGTCAGAATGTTTTAGCAGAGCAACAGAAGGCAAACTAAAAAGCTTCTAGGCTCAAGAGATTGCTTTCAGCTCACTCGATTACTGGGACCCTGGCACACATTGCTCGCCTTGCTCCCCTTACCGTTTGTTCTCATTCGGGCTCTTGTTTCCTGTGTGCCTGCTGTCATCATGCATTGTTGGGTCCTAACTTTCTCGGAGAAAGGGGTGAAAAAGCGCAAAGCAACGACAGACCCAGGAGTCAAGTGGAGGTTTACAGCAGGCTCATTTAACCATAGGGGAAAACATATACCCTCCCAGTACCCAGGCTGGGTGGCAGTTGATGGGCAGCATCTCATGCTCCTCTCTCATTGGCTAGGCACGATCAGGACCGCTGATAGCGCCTGTTGCTAGGCACTCAGGAAACACTACTTGGTCTCTCCTTATTGGCTAGGCACAGACAGAACCTTAGTTCTGTTAGGAAGGCAGCGTGCAGAGGTGCCAGCTGAGGGGTTGGAGGGGTGTGGGGTGGGAGGATGGGGAGTGTGGGGGAGATCCACTTCTAGGGGAAGAGCTACAAGCAATTTACATCTGCTGATAGAGGGAGAGTTAAGTCTTCCCCAGGGATGACTCTGTTGATTGATTATCCAATACCAAGTGGCCAGCCCTAGAAATATACATGCAGGCGACACCCGACCGACTCAGCAGGTTGTATTTATATGCTTATTTATTTATATGCTATGTAACAACAATGACTAAAGAAGAAGTTAAATTTGAGAGGGAGGTTAGGGGAGGTACATGGGAGGGCTAGGAGGGAGGAGAGGAAGGGAGCAGATGATGTAATTATATTTTAATTAAAATAGAAACCTGTATACTTTGTCTCTATTATTGTTCTTTTTTTTAATGGTTCTACTCTGTCAATTTTTACTTAGAATCTCTGATAACAGAAAGCAGAAAGGCAAAACTTAATCTTGTTTTGCTCTTTCAGAGGGCGAGTATATTTTATGATTGCTGTAGGTAATCTCTTTAAGGAGAACTTGAGCACATGAAACGTGCTCATATTTCCCAGGAGAGAACAGCAGAAAAGACGACCCACAGGGTTATTTTGGAAATTTGAAACAATCAAGTTAAGTACTTTGTACTGGCTAGTAAAGTTTTACATAGTCAGCGTGTATTTTTAGTGAGAATTTTCTGTCTTAAATTTTCGTTGTAACTAAATAGATAAATGAAAGCCTCGGGTATGAATGACAGCAGGTGAACTTAAATATTTTATTAGGTTATTTTATTTTCTGTGTTCAGCAGTTTTGTCTGCATGTATGTTTCGTACAATATGTATATCTAGAGCCTGTAGAGGTCAAAAGGGATCATTGGATCTACTGCAACTGGAATAATGGATGGTTGTGAGCCATAATGTGGGTGCTGGGAACCAAACCTGGGTCCTCTGCAAGAGCAGCATCTCCAGCTCTTGAGTGAATGTTTAATTCACTGAGGAAAATGTGATGTTTATTCATAACAGGAATCACATGGAATTTTAGATAAAATATATTTGATTACTTTGAAAGGGTGCATTACTTTCATCTTTTCTCATGTATTAAGGAGTGAGCTCAGTGCCTGTGGGTGCTGGCAAGAGCTGGCACAGGATTAAATCTTCACATTGTGTTCCTAATCCTATGAGTTCCAGGATAGGGAGATTAGACAGCTTTCTTCTTTCTGGAGTATAGGTTTTGGTGAAGGAAGTCTTCTTCCATTCCTCAATCACTTAATGTAGTTATTTTTTAAAGTTATTGAGTTCATTTTTGGTTGTCTGTTTGAACAAGTCTTTTCTAACTATGGTCTTGTTTCTTAAGGCCTCTGAACACTGTTGTGCACTTCCCTGGCATTTTCTTTGTAAGCAGTTAAGAACTGTTCTGTTTTGCTAATAGGCTTGAAATTAGGAAATAGAAGCTACAGTATTAACTATTAGTGGTTCATGTGCTCTGATACGTTTAGAAGCTAGCATCTTGTCAGGGCAAGAGCCTTCCTGTGTGTTCAGAGATAGTGACACCAGTTTCTTTGTTGCTGTCACAAGCCACTATAAAAGAGCAGATTGGTGTACTTGTTCCTAACTTCAGTATGGCAAATTATTTTTGTGTAAAACAGTACAGCTAAACAGTTGTTACTGTTAATGGTGGTGACATCAATATGCATATTAAATTTCAAATAAGTATAAGAGAAAGTAGGATTTAAAGTGGCTATCCACTTTTGGTCAAAGTTGAAGTACCATATATCAGTTCCCTCCTGTATAGCAGGCCTAAGTCCAGTCAGAAGCTGTTGGTTACCTTTTTAACAGTTACGCCACAGTTACACCACAGGCCTGTATTGTCAGTCTGATCCTAATTGTGGCTCCGGAAATTTGTAGCAAGTGGATGGAACTGAAACAAATTATACAGAATGAGGTAACACAGATACACAAAGACATTTTTTGATTTGTGGGTTTGAATTTGGGTATTTGTAGAAACCTGGCAAGTAGAAAAGGGCCCTTATGGGGAGCAGGAGGAAGGAGACTTAGGGAAGTGGGTTAGTAAGACACAGTGATGTGACTGGGGAGAGGAATAGAGTAAGGGCAACAGGCTGGGGGTGAAGGGGGCGAGAACTCACACTAAGGATGTCTGATTTCTTCCTTCCTTCCTTCCTTCCTTCCTTCCTTCCTTCCTTCCTTCCTTTCTTTTTTTCTTTTTCTGAGACTGTGTTTCTCTATAGCTTTGGAGCCTTTCCTGGAACTAGCTCTTGTAGACCAGGCTGGCCTCAAACTCACAGATATCTGCCTGCCTCTGCCTCCCGAGTGCTGGGATTAAAGGCGTGCGCCACCACTGCCCTGCTGATTTCTTTTTTTAATAGCTACATAAAGTTGCATTAAAATTTCACATTCCATTTGTCCGTTCATCAATTGCTGGACATCTGGCTGTTCCTATTACCATTACGATGAAGGCAGTGATGGCCATGGATGGATATGTGCCTCTGTACGATATAGGCATATGCTCAGGAGCGGCACAGCTGGATCACATGGTAGTTTTATTTCTAGCTTCTTGAGGCATCGCCATGGTTTGTATTCTGCTAGTAGTGAGTAAGGTCCCCCACATCTTTGTTGCCATTTGTCATAATTTGTTTTCTTAATCTTAGCACTGGAAAGACTGACAGAATAGTTGAGTGAGGCCAGCCTGGGACACACAAGAAGACACGAGCAAACAGACTGGTGTTTGTTGCTTACTCATGAATGCTGGTTGCTTGTGCCTTACTGTTTGAGGTGTGTGCTACCACTGCTTCTGCTCCTGCAGAGGAGTGGTGATGATTTCATATGGCGTAGACATTTCTCTCAGTACTCATGTCGGTTCCACTTTTATCTTCATTGCTATACCTTTTTTTATTTAAATTGGGAGAGATTTGTTTTCTCCTTTTAAAAGATTTTTTTTAAAAAATTATGCGTATAGGTGTTTTGTCTGCGTGTATGTCTGTGCACCACATTTGTGCCTGTGAGGCCAGAATAGGATGCCAGATCCTCTGGAACTGGAGTTACAGAAGATTGTGAGCTGCCATGAGGGTCCTAGGAAATGAATCCAAGTCCTTTGGAAGATCTGTCAGCGCTCTTAAGTGCAGAAGCATCTCTCCAGCCCCATCTTCTTTTTGTATAGAAGTTGAGAATTTTATCTACCTAGAGTTGTCAGTCTTTTTATGAGGATATAATCAACACAAGATAGAAAAATGTTAGTGCCTTGAAAAGCAATGTTTTAAGTTTCAAGTATTGTATGCGACTAAAAATCTGAGAAATAAGCTTTAACTTTAATAGATACTTTAATAAATAGCAGAGCATAACTCTTGATTTGGTTGGTTAATGCTCACATCTAGTCTTTAGTAACTTGATTTTTATTTTAAAATTAGGATCTCAGGTTGTAGCTCAGGTTGGCCATGAACTCATGTCATGGTTCTCAGCCTCCCCATTCTGAGATGACAGGTTTTATGTCATGGCTTTAACCTGAACATTTTTTATTTTTATGGTTCTTTCCCTCCAATCATTGTACTTTCCTTTTCTATTCTTATTTATTTTTAAAGACTATTTTATGTAGCCCATGCTCATCTTAAACTCATCAAGATAAGAGTTGACCTTAAATTTCTGGTCTTTGTGCCTCCACCCCTGTGTGCTGGCATGTAAGCATGTCTCCATGCCTGGGTTTATGAACTGCTAGGGACTGAACACAGCTCACTAAGGAAGCACCCCACCAACTAGGCTACATCTATAGACCCTTTGTTACTGCTCTTTTTATGTATCTCTTCAGATATTGACAGGAAAAAAACCTTGAAAAATATTAGAGTTAAATTTTCTTCCACATTTTGCCTTCCCTGGGGTTAATAATGATTTAGCAATCATTGGAAATGACAAGATAATTAGTATATTAACTTGTTTTTATAAAAGTGTGGAATATTCTCTACATTAGGAAAATGCTTTATTGGAACTGAAGAATATAAGTTTAAAAGGCTCATAAAATATGTTTCCTCTTAGATAAGTGATGAAGAGAAGACTCTTCGAGAACAGGATATCATTGCATCCTCGCCAAGCCTAAGTGGGGTGAAGTGGGAATCGGAGTCAGTTTATAAGGTATGTAAACATTTATATAGCGTCATGCTTAGCTTTATCTGCATTTTTTAAAAAAATTATTTATTTCTTATGTATCCGTGTTCTTCCTGCATGCCAGAAGAGGGTACTAGATCTCATTATAGATGGTTGTGAGCTACCAGGTGGTTACTGGGAATTGAACTCAGAACCTCTGGAAGAGCAGCAAGTGCTCTTAATCTCTGAGCCATCTCTCCAGCCCCCTTTACCTGCATTATTAACTTACACATTTGGGTAGCCCCTCCCACTTCATTGTGTGAATAGATCATACTTAGGAAACACTCAGTGCTGGGCCACCCTCCACGCAGACATCCTCCTCACCCTTTTGGGATTCGGGCTGCACCCTAGACCATTCTATTGAAGGAAAACCTTAGGGACATCGCTTGGGCTCCTGCATATGCTCTGGGGCTGCCCCCTCTTTTCTATTTGGTTCTAATACTCTTTAAGGTGCTTTTCTAGAAACTCCTGTACTGGTTGGTTTTATGTCAATTTGACACAAGCTAAAGTCATCAGAGAGGAAGAAACCTCAATTGAGAAAGCTTAATGCCTCCCTGAACTCCAGCTGTAAGGCATTTTCTTAGTGATGATTGAGGGAGGGCCTAGCCCATTGAGAATGGTGCTATGCCCGGGCTGATGGTTCTATAAGAAAGCAGGCTGAGTAAGCCATGGGAAACAAGTCAGTAAGCAGCACTCCTTCACAGCCACTGCATCAGCTCCTGCTTTTAGGTTCCTGCCCTTCTTGAGTTCCTGTCCTGACTTCCTTCAGTGATGAACAGCAGTATGGAAGTGCAAGCCAAATAAACCCTATGTTCCCCACCTTGCTCTTTGGTCGTGGTGTTGTCTCAGTAGTAGAAACCCTGACTAAGACAGCTCCCTCGGGAGGTCTTGGGCTCTTACACATGATTAGGCTTATGGCCTTGTGTGGTCCAATTGCATCTCAGCTCTGTACTGTGAGCCTATTGCTTTCCTATGGGGATGCCTTCCTGAACCTAGTCCAGCATCTTTGCTGGGTCACCTACATTTCTTCTGTCCTCTTAGCATAGAGACCTTCTTTATGTGAGCTTGCCAGATAACTTGGGAATAAGTAGTTGTGAAGGGGAAGAGGGAAATCTGAAATTAACTGAAAACTTGGTGACTGTCATCTCATAGTTGACCCTGGAAATGATGGACAGACAGTCACAGTAAACTTGGAAGTGCACCTTTCTTACTTACCCACTACTTAATTTTATACACAGGTTCCTCCTTCCCCTTTTATTCAGTTTTTATTTTTGGTTTTGAGGCACTGTGTCAGCAAGTTGACCAAGTTGGCCTTGCCCAGGCAGGACTTGAATTTGTGATCCTCCTCACTCAGTCTCCTGAATTGCTTGGATTAAAGATTGAATGCATGATGAAGTCTTGCCTCCACATTAGCTGTCTGTACCTTTTTCTTTTTCTTCACATTGAGCCACCATTCAGTCTCCTTCCAAGCGTAGTGTATGAGGATTGGGTCCTTGATTTACAGCACACATAGCCATTGCTGGACCATCACAGCATCTGCTGCTTCTGCCTGTGCATTTTTGTTTGCACCGTGCTTACCACAGTGCTAGAGGTCTAGATTGTTACAGGAAAGGACACAGTGGGCTTATTTAGCTTCTGTCTTCCTTTCTTTTCCCAGTTTCACAGATTTGTTCTCTGAGATCCAGAGGAATTTATTTCACTCACTAAAGCATAAGCCAGTAGTAGACTAGAATAGATTCTAGGCTTGGACTAGAGCTTGCTTCCAAATGCCATCCTCTGCTCCTGCCTGCATTGCACTAACCCTTCTTCCCTATGCCTCTGCTGTGTCTCATGTACCACCTGTTGCAGGCCATAGCACACACGATGCCTTGTGGAGCTGTTTGATATTCCACAAGTTTTTTCCTGTTCTTAAATAAATTATGAATTCTTTGGGGACAAGAACTATATTGTAGTCATGGAAAACAGTACATTTGTCACAGGCTTTCTAGTTAAAAGGCATGTAATCACAGACTGGAGACATATGTGACATACCAGAGACCCAGGTTCAGTTCCTAGAACTCATATTGGATAGCTCACAGTTGCCAATAAGTCCAGCTTCTGGGGATCCAACACCCTGTCTAGACTCTGGACAGTGTACTAACATGTGCTCATATCCATATACAAATATAACAAACACATAATTTAAAAATAAAATAAAATAAAATAAAAAGCATTTAAATGACACATGATCTGTTCATAGTGTGAGGTGTCATTAAACGCACCAAACTGCAGCCAGGCAGATTTCAGTGTTGCCCAAGACTAGAAACATTTTCATTGCTTCGTTTTCGAAAGAACAAAAAAAATATTTTCCAGGATGATGATTTTCACAGTCATCTAAGATCAGATGATGCTTATCTCTTCAATGGTAGGGTAATTCATAGAACTTAATCTTCATTTTATTTTAAAATAAATACTTAAATTCTTAGGGCAGATATTTAACAACAAAACTGAAGGATCATTATTTCAACTTCTTGGTGTTGAGAGAACAACACATACGCTTCACATATGCTTCTCCAGTGGAGGAACAGAAGCTTAGATGAACAGATTGGGAATTAGCTTCAATTACAACTAATTTTTAGCACTGGATATTTTTTAAAGATAAAAATTAGAAAAGCATTATTTGACAACAAATTTTGAACCTGTCATGAGGTGACTATAACATGTTTAAAGACTTTGATGTAGAAGTTTAAAATTTTGTCGTTTATATTTCAGAAATTTGTAGGTTATAACTAAAAGGAAACATTCTTTTTTTTTGACTCTTTTTAAATTATTGTTACTGTCTTTTGAAACATGTACTCTAAAACTTTTTTTTTTTTTTTTGTACACTGTTAATTCTTCCTAAATGTTAACTGTTTGGTTTTAGGGAATACATTTTTTTACTCTCTTTTCCTTTTGGAGCTTCTGGAACTAATGGGTTTTGTTTGACTTAACGTTTGAAGTCTCAGGACCTGGTAACAATAGAAACTGATCTGTTTCCCTGTTTCACTCTGAATCCAGATCCCCTTTGCTGATGCTCTGGACCTGTTCCGAGGAAGGAAGGTCTATTTGGAAGATGGCTTTGCCTATGTGCCGCTTAAAGACATTGTGGCCATCATTCTGAACGAGTTCAGAGCCACGCTGTCTAAGGCTCTGGCAGTAAGTGTCCTCTTTTATGTCTTTATTTGACATCATTATAAATCCCTGGTGACTCTGTTTTGTGCTTTTTTACAGAGTAACATTTTGATTGCCTGTGGTATTGTGTTGTTAATTGTGGAATCCTAGGTTTCTAAAGTGTCAGTTGCCACACATGGTTTTCTTATTGCTTCTTCTAATGGCACTAATGGGCGGCTGACTACTAATTATGGCAGCGGTCTCTGTAGGTTATCCATCAAATCATTTCTGCTTGGAGATGGACTTTATATGTGCTCCTTAAAAGCAATGTGGCCGTTGGTGGAAATAACTCCTAGATTTCTGTTGTGAATTGCTATATTTCTATCAGTAGAGGGCATTGTAGAAGCAAATTTTGGTTTTCTTATTTTGTGATGTTGGAAGTTGAAACCTAGGGCCTCAGCGTGCTAGGGAGTCATCTACTGCTGACCTGTGTGCCATCAGCCCTAGGAGAAAGTGTTTATATCTAAGTACTAAAAACAGTGATAGGCTACTGATGAGTAAAAAGCCCAGAATTACATGACATTCGAAGAGTTATGTTGAATAAATGACAGTATACTTAGTTTGTTGAAATCTTACTTCAGAGTGATGACACTTGACTTTTAATCTAGGTCAGTTTCTTTTATGCTTTTTTGCTCTTAATGTGGAAGAGGACTTCAGAGTCGAAGGGTGATCATGAAGCTGTAATGACAATTGTGTGAGCATGTGGTCAACTTTCCCTTTGAGATGAAATTGTAGTGTTTCTGGTACAAATAATTATTATTGACTCTCTAGGGTCACTTAAGCATGCATCATTCAGTTATTTGGGGAGGCTAAAATAGCTACTATTTTTATTTGGTGAGAAGTTTATGGAAACACCTAACTGGTTTTCCATGAAAATCTGTATGTGTGGGTGTGTGGTGTTAATGATGGAACCAAGGGCCTTGTGTGTGTGCTAACACATCGTCTACTCCTGAATTATATTCTCAGGTCTGAGTAGGTATTTAGCTGTTAATATTCTTTCTTCATCTAATTCCATGCTATATTATAAATCTTTATTATGGTTAATGCTCTTAAATTGTTTCCCTGTGATTTACTCTGTCCCACAATGTGTGTATGAATAAGAACAGTGACTCCACCACTATGGACCTATTTGTTTATTGGTTGGCATTCTCTTTGTTCTGTGGTTTTTGTTTCAACCAGTTCTCTGTTTTGGATAGCATTTCTTTGTGTGAAGTAGGTACATTCTTTTCAGAACAGAAGACAGCAGTGAATGCTGTCCACGAATGCTCCTATTCTCCATAGTCACAAGAGCCATCACCATGCATTTCTGAAAGCTTTGGGGATGTTGGTACCAACCTTGAAGCAGTTGAGGCTCCTTCCTCAATTCTGTTTCTAGTAACCTAAAGCCTCCTGATACTTCCCTGCTTCAGAGATTGTAGTACACACTACATTTTACTCCAGCTCCCCAGTTGCTGGTCACAGAAACAAATCTATGGTATCTTAAACAATAATGGAGTGTGTTAGTCCTTAAATTCAGGAAGTCCAGAAGTTGTCTGAGCGACACTGGTGTCCTCGTTAGTGTTCCAGCTGTTTCTCTGCAGTTGTTTTCCCCATATGAATATGCTTTGTCCTTGGTTTGGCTTCTCTCATGGTAGCAGAAGTGGGTCAGACATCATTTCTCTTGTAACATACCATCCATACAAACTTCTTTTTGTGTCCTTGAATTCTGTTCTTTGTCTTAGTATTTATTATGCTTGAAATGGCTTAAGGCACAAGCTGTATCACTTCCTTATGGCTGCTCTGTCAAAGTACTATAGAATGGGGTCTCAGAAGAAACATTCATTGTCTCCTGATTACAGAGAGTTCATCTCTGAACTGTTGGGGAAGGGCTGCATCTACTTCCAAGACACAAGGTTAGTGCAATCTGCTGAACAGGCATTGGTTGCAAACTTAGGAACACACAGAATTCTGTCTTTACTCCTGTGTATTCAGATTCCTCCATTTTCTACTCAGAGAATAGGGAGAAAAAGTAAAATCTTGTGAAAATCTGCTGTCCAGTCTTCTTTCCACATTGTATCATCAGGAAGATAAACAGCAAATCCATACCTAACACTCTGAACTGTGTGAAAGACAAGTGTCCAGTAAGTGCTCCCAACAAATTTATGAAATGAATGGGTAAAATACTGTAAAATGAATCTAAGCTTTGTAAAACACTAGCTAGAGTTAGCTCTGAAACACTAGCAGTTCCTCCTCTGCTTTCTCTGAAGATTGATCTTGCATTTCTGTTGAGGATATCACATTTTGGGAACATGCAGAGTGTCTTGATCCCGTGAACCACCAAACAAAGTGTCAGAGTCATAGCCTTAGGCTAGGCAATTCTTTTGGCCGTGATAATTGTCTAAGTATACAATACAGCTTGGATAATGCTCCCCAGATTTTGATGTGTTGAAGCTGTAACTGGCATTCCCTTACAATGTGAATATATTTAGAAATGGGGCCACTGCAGACACAGTAGAGCAGGGGCCTTAATCTAATATAACTGGTATTATTATAAAAAGTAGAAATTTGGGACACATCTGGGTAGTTCTGTGTGAAGACTACAGTTATATTGTCACACGCCAAATACCAGTAACTCGGAGAGAGATGTGAAAGGCCTTCCCCAACAGTTCAGGGATGAGCAGTCCTACTTGCACCTCAGTCACAAACCTGCTATACAAAGAATGTGCTGCAACCACTACTGGTGACCCGTCCAGATGAGGGAGTGCAAGATTACAGAAGCCGAAATGTGTGAGAAAGAATTTAGAATCTTATTGTTCAAAAGAATTAACTGTCACTTAGAAGAGAGATGCATAAATTAGGGAAATTTATCCATGACCTTGACAAGGTAGTCTCCCAAATGAACAGAACAGTTAATGAATTGGAGTTGAAAGTTCAAAATATGGAGGGTCCATTTAGCAAGGAGTTTGAAACATAGAAGGAGATACTCAGATAAAAACCACAAGAGACAGCCCGGATGGGTAGGTACGCCATTCAGAGTGAGTATTTATTTAGTGGGTTATGGAAGGAAAGGGAAGGGGGGTGGGGAGAGAGGAGAGGAGAGAGATTGTAGCCACAGGGGAGAAAAGGGGAGGGAGTGGGCAGGGCTTGTCTCTTAAAGGGACAGGACAGACCATTACATGGATGGAGAACAGAGTCAGGACATATATAAAGAAAAAAATTAAGGCATAATTCCTAAAAATGGATAATATTTCCAAGAAGTCTGGAGCACAGTCAAGAGGCCAAGCTCGTACTGATGGTGTAGAAGAAGGAGCAGAGGTAAAACTGAGTGGCATGGACAGACTGGTGAAACCATAGGAAAAGACCTCAGAACTGGGTGGAAACAGGCACATGGTGCTTAGAGATCCAAGTAGACATGCTCAGAGAAGAAATTCTCCATGACATATTGTAGTCAGGGTGCCAAAATTACAAAATAAAGAAATAATCCTCTAAGTAGGAGAAAAACACCAACTTATATTCAAAGGCAGAAATAATCAGAATTGCCCCAGGCTTTTCATCTGCAAATGTAAAAGACAGAATGAATGAGATGCTTCCGGCTCTGAAAGTAAACACCTGTGAACCAAAAATGTTATATACTGCAAAACTATCTTTCAAAATTGGTGGAGAAATAAAAGAATCTCAAGGCAAACACAAATAAAAGAAATTTGTGACAACCATGCCAGCACTGCAGAAAGATCTTAGTAGAATGTTTATAGGGAGGAAGGTGGCATAGCTATAGATAAACTAGATTTGGGGAAACGGCATATCAGACACAGCAACTCAGCAAACCCTTAAAACTAATATGGGAACAGGAAAAGAAATAAGAAAAACCCAGCAAAATAGAACATCACTTGTTTTAATCAGAGTTTCTATTGCTGTGATAAAACATCATGACTAAAAGCAACTTGGTGAGGAAAGGGTTTATTTTGCTTACACTCTGTCTGTATCACAGCCCATCACTGAAGGGAGTCAGGTCAGGGACTACAGACAGGAACCTGGAGGCAGGAACTGAAACAGAGGCCATGGAGGAGTGCTGCTTACTGACTTGCTTACATGACTTGCTCAGCCTGCTTTATTATAGAACCCAGTACGACCATCCAGGGGTAGTGCCACCCATAGTGAATTTGTCCCTCTCATATCAATCATCAGTCAAGAAACTACACCATAGACTCACAGGCCAATCAGATGGAGCATTTTCTCAATTGAGGTTCCCGCCTCCAAAATGACTAGCTTGTGTTGTTGTTATAGAACTAGTCTGCACAATTCAGTTTCTTTAAAACATCCAAAATCTTTTTCAAAGTTCAAAGTTTCTCTAAGGAATCCAAAGTCTCTCTAAAATATACACATTCTTTAAGATTGTCAAAGCCCCTGTACAGTTCCAATTATATAAGATTTCAAACTGTGGTATCCTGTTATATAAAAAAAAATACTTCCACTCTTTGTTCCTCCAAGTGGGAAGAACCATTGCACTTTTATTTTCATTCAAATCAAAGCAAAACCAAAGCTGAACAGTGCACAGCTCAGTGTCAGACTCCTGTGGCTCATGGTCGTCTATATTCCAGAGGGCTTGGCACTGGAACTTGTCCAGCTTCGCCATTCACAGCACAACTCTGAGTGCCCTATGGCTTTACCAGCTCTCGGCTCCAGACTCCTCCCACAATCCTCCTCAACCCAACATGGTCAGGCTATCACAGCAACACCCAACTCCTTGTACCAGTTTCTGTTTTAAGGTCTCAGTTACTATGGAAGAACACGACAATAAGCAGCTTGGAGAGGAAAGAGTTTATTTTGCTTATAATTCCGTATAACAGTCGACCTTTGAAGGATATTAGGGCAGGAACTCCAGGAAGGAACCTGTACGCAGAAACTGGAACAAACCACGGGAATGCTACTTGCTGGCTTACTATTTGGCTTGCTGAGCTGGCCTTCCTATAGCACCCAGGACCACCTGTCTAGGGGTGGCACCACTC